GAAGATATCTTAAGGCAGTTGCTTTCTCCTGCCTTCTGACACCTGCTCTATAATGACTCTGTGTATGAATAAATTTAAGCCTGGGAAGCAGCTTCTGTTTCACATCTTTAATCACCTGAAGATCATGCGCTTCCCGAACTTTGTGAAATCCTCTTACCTTGTGATAACGAGCCACCAGTTTCCCTTCTGAGTCAAAGACAACGTTGGTATTGTACTGGTAGTGACCATCACTCGGGCACCTTGGGTCACTGGCATTACAGGGCTTCTTGTCTCCCATATTTGCAACCACATAGATGGAGTTATTCCTCGCCAGACAGCTTAGTCTTTCCAGCACTGGTGAGGGAGCAAACCTAAACAGCAGGGAAGGAAGAAAGGAAATAAAATATCGAAGCCAGTCAATCCATAAAAATGCCAACGCTATGACTACAGATCACAAGAATGATAGGTTTAAGTTAGCCATTCCTAATACAGGACAGTAGTTTTCTGTTATTCCACAGAAGGCAGCAGTTTTGTGCTTCAAAGCTTAGTGGGCTGAAACTCTAGCTTCGCTTCACGTTAGAGAAGTGAGGAACACAAGGAGTTTCCTTGCAGCGAAAGTGAATCTTTGCACCTTCGAGCCTCCCTTCTGCTGCCAGCGTGTGGTACAGCGTTGATGTTACACTGGCACATGGGCTAATCTGAGCTTTCTGCTTCAGCTCTTGGGTCAGCTGCTGTGCTGAGGTAGCTTACGATTTGTCTCTTCTATGGTGCACTTTGTTGTATTTCAGCAAATATCACAGCCTCAAAAAATGGTGCAATTAATTAAGGAAAATAACAGAATGAAAAGGCTACCACGTCATGATTAAAAATAGAAATTTGAAATTGTGCAGTATATCCTTTCAGTAGTAGTTGTTACTTTATTCACAAATATTCCTAATATTCCTGTATCTTAAACATTTTCTACAGCATGCATGGAATACATTACTGAAATGTAGATCCTGCAAGTTTTTGGTTTTCTTTTAAATGTATCTATCTCAGCCTTTATGAGTATACTAACTAGAATCAAAAGAATTACAGTGACAAAAAACGACAGAGAAAAATGATAAAGTTGTCTGAAGGTATTTATGGCAACTACATGATGTGTAACCTGCCTTCATTTCTCAGCAGTTGTTCCAAGACATTTAAAACTATGAAAAAACACTCCTAAAGGTAGCCGTCTTTCCCATTGAACCATTCCCCTGTGCACAGCAGGGATGATACCTTCTAGGATCAGCACACGGAATCCAGTCCACCCGTGGGTCCGGGATATCCTCAAGATAAGGGTATATTGTTTCCCTTGTGAAGACCCAGCCGTAAATGCCATCATCATGAGTCACAATGATATGGGCACCCTGGTACCAACATACAACCCCAAAAAACACCATTAAGAAAATGAATAAATGGTCAGTGTTTACCAAAATGAACATCTCTAACTCTGTCATGATACCTGTCTGGCTGCTTCTTTGATGGCCACCTCAAAAATTACCATATTTTTTTCCATCAGCATCAAGGCCTCCTCAGGAGAAACCGGCACTTCAGTGTCCTCTGACAAGATGACGTTGTGCTCGTAGATGGCTGCAACGTAGCTGTCCAGGGCACAGGCCTCCAGAGCAGACAGCACCAAAAGCACGGCAGAGGCACGAGCTTTAGGAAGCCCCACGTCCGGGGCCTGGAAGTCGCCCAAGAGAAGGATGGGGCAAGCAAAGCCAGTGGGTTTTAAAATGGAAAGTCTTGCACAAAACCTGGGAATTCCCCAGAGTGGCAGAAAGCTGACACCAGGAGATGCAATCACCCTGCCCAGAAAGACTCACAACATCAAAGGCAAGATAGCTGCCAGCATTGAGCAATTCTGCCTTATACCACTGACAGAGAAGTTATGCAGAAGGAACCTCTGTGCTGCAGCCAAAAAAAATAGCACATTGCCTGGCAGATCTGTGAATGATTCAGGTGTGGCGTTGCTGTAGCAATGCCGCTCAAGGCAAGCCTGGGTCATGGCAGGAAAGCAAGCAAGTTTGGGAAATCTAAGGCAAGACCAGCACGGACACATTCCTGCCCAAACTCGAGGGCGCGGGGTGCAGGCAGGGCTGCAGGAGGCAGCTGAGGGCTGCTCTGATCCAGCCAAGTGTAGTTTGGCTTATCTGGCACAGTCCTGACTTTGCACAGATTGTACAACTACGTTAGTAACAGCAGGTGGCTGCTCAGACCTGCCACCGCATGAGGCAAGCGCAGCACTAGCCAGGGGCTTGCCAAGCGTAGGAGATCCCATTGCTCTGCTTTAACCATGGTTCCAGGACCCCTGGATAATCACAGCAGGAGAACATGCTTATTAACAACAAACCTGGAAACCAGCATTCCCCTTTAGGTTTCTTTTGCCTCCATTGTAAATATGAAAGAATGGAAAGGGGAGAAGATGTGCTGCCAGAAAGCCAGAGGGGTTAGTTAAGCCTGTCTAGTTTCTGCTGGTGGTCTGGTGAAGTTCATACATTGCAGGACAGCTCATTAGTTTCAATGACATTTGTGCTCTTTCCAGTAATCCCAGCCACTTCAAGTCCTAACAGCACACGTCAGCTAAGTGAACAAGTCATCCCACAAAGAGAGCTAATTAAGTCTCATGTCCACAGATCTGCACCCTGTGTCTACCTCTACTCCTCTCAGCTCCTTCTCACCTGCCTCACCATCGGCACTGGTGGGGTCAGCACTTGGTAATAGGTTGAGGTGTGCACTCCTGGTTTTGGTAAAGTCTAACACCTGATACAAAAGGATACAGAGCTATGGCCAGGATGTTCCCAGGGGAAGCCTGTCCTTTGGTCCCCTGATGTTTCACAGTTCAGCTGGCTACCAGGGCAGCTCTTCTTGCTTGTGCCCCAAAAAGGGCCCTGGCAGAGAAAGAACTATTTCTCATGTGAGTTCCAGTAGCATGAGAAACTGACTGGAAATTGGTAGGACTAGACCATTTTTCTAATTTATGGAAAAATGGGTACCACAGAGAACCCCTTCTAGGACCCAGTTCTGGGCTCAAGGACAAATTAAAAGACTTTTGCCACAACCAAGGCCAAGAAGTCTAGTGCGAGTTTGCCAGGCATGCCCTTGTCTCAGTTCTCCTTGAGTTTCTTTGCCGAGCATCTGGAAGAGGTGAGGAGGGTGGTTTTTTTCCTATTGTTGGAAAATAGCAGCCCTAGACTTTTTGATAGATTTACCATTGCTGAGGCAATTAGTGCAAACATTCCAGCTGACATTTATTCATAAAATACATCTCACACACACCAAGCTGAGTCTTCATATGTAACACAAACATACCTATGTCTGTGCGTGTACGTATACACACACACTGCCACGCCTCCTCCAGGACTGAAGATCAGTTAATTCGGTGTAGAGATGCTAAGTCTTCTCTTCATTACCTCTCTCTCCCATTTCCAGGCACTTTCAAGATCATACAAGTGCTGGTAGACACAAAGTCTTTTAGACTTGTTGTCTAAGAAAATTCACAAAGCTTAGGAAAGTGGTCCACAGAGCGCAGGAGCTATCGATCCCTAGGTGTAAGAAATCAAGCAAAGAAGGGAAGAGACCAGCGTGGTTGAGACAGGAGATGCTGGTCAAGCTAAGGAGGAAGAGGGAACTGCACAGGCAGTGGAAGCAGGGCTAAAGGGGGCCTATAGGAAAGAGGGGGAAAACCTTTTTAGTAGGGCCAGCTGCGTTAGGACAAGGGGTAATGGTTTTAAACTAAATCGGGGTAGGTTTAGGCTAGATATAAGGAAAAAATTCTTTACAATGAGGGTGGTAAACCACTGGAACAGGTTGCCCAGAGAGGTAGTGGAGGCCCCATCCCTGGAAACATTCAAGGCCAGGTTGGATGGGGCTCTGAGCAACCTGATCTAGTTGGCGGTGTCCCTGCTGACTGCAGGGGGGTTGGACTCGATGACCTCTAGTGGTCCCTTCCAACCCAAAACATTCTATGATTCTATGAAAAAAAGTTGCTTTATTGAAAACATTATTGTGCTTAATGCTTTGTCATTTCAAATTCTGTTTCAACATTTTATGTTATCAGTTAAAGTATTACAAGATAATGAACTTTCTTTAAAAAAATACAGTAAATCATGGTAGCAAAATAGTAGCTTTTCCCAAGAATAATGCACAGCAGGCTCAAGTATAGAAACCAGACATTTGAAAACACACCTCTTCACATACAGTGGTGCACTGTATATGGAACACAATTAAACAGGCTGACATCTGAGGGTTACTCATCACTTCAGCCGACCCACACGAGGACTTCCAAAAGAAAGGCAGTCAGTGTTTCAAAACAGCAATGCAGCTACAACTAAACCACAACTGGTTGTTCACCAAAGGATCATGGATCCCAGGCTCGAGAATAATGAAACACTTAAGTCCACTCATCTCAACACTAGGCAAAACCACAATAGTAATCAGAGAACCAAAGCTATGTCTAGCTATGTTTCACTGCCCATCAGATGAGTTCTTTCTTCATTATTCCCAGGAGGATTTTGCAGGCTGGAACTGGAACTGTTTGCACAAGGAAAAGAACAGGAGGGAAGAAACAGATGTAATATTCTCTACATACTTCTATGCAATACCAACATTACAGAAAAAAAGCCACAATTACACAGAAAGTGCTATGTGGATCACTGGATTTGGCTCTGCGCTACTGCACAGGACCATGTACTACTGCTTTCACACCTATCATTTCACAGAATCACAGAATGGTTCGGGTTGGAAGGGACCTGTAAAGGCCATCTAGCCCAACCCCCCTGCAATGACCAAGGACATTTTTGATTAGATCAGGTTGCTCAGAGCCCTGTCCAACCTGACCTTGAAAGTTTCCAGGGATGGGGCATCTAACCATTGCTCTGGGCAACCTGTTCCAGTGTTTCACTACCCACATCATAAAAAATTTCTTCCTCATATCTAGTCGGAATCTACTCTCTTTTGGTTTAAAACCATTATCCCTTCTCCTGCTGTTACAGGCCCTGCTAAAAAGTCTGTCCCCGTCTTTCCTATAGGCTCCCTTTAAGTACTCAAAGGCTGCAACAAGGTCTTCCCAGACCCTTCTCTTCTCCAGGCTGAACAACCCCAACTCTCTCAGCCCGTCTTCATAGGAGAGGTGCTCCAGCCTTGTGATTACCTTTGTAGCCCTCCTCTGGACCCACTCCAACAGGTCCATGTCTTTCCTGTGCTGTTGGCTCCAGAGCTGGATGCAGTACTACAGGTGAGGTCTCACCAGAGCAGAGTAGAGGGGCAAAATCATCTCCCTTGACCTGCTGGCCATGCTTCTTTTGATGCAGCCCAGGATACGGTTGGCTTTCTGGGCTGTGAGCGCATGTTTCCGGCTCATGTCCAGCTTTTCATCTACCAGTACCCCCAAATCCTTCTCTGCAGGGCTGCTCTCAATCCCTTCATCCTTCAGCCTGTATTGATACTAGGAGTTGCCCTGACCCAGGTGCAGGACCTTGCACTTGGCCTTGTTGAACCTCAACTTCATGCAGGCCCACTTCTTGAACTTGTTCAGGTCCCTCTGGATGGCATTCCTTCCCTCCAGCTTATCAGCTGCATCTCTCAGCTTGGTGTCGTCTGCAAGTTTGCTGAGGGTGCACTCAATCCTACTGTTTATGTCATTGGTGAACATATTAAGCAGTACTGGTCCCAATATGGACCCCTGAGGGACACCACTCATTGCTGATCTCCAATCGGACACTGAGCCTCTGACCACTACTCTCTGGATATGACCATCCAGACAATTCCAGCTCACAGACACCCTCCTGGAGGAACCATAGGTAGGGTTTGCTCGTTAATGTCACAGTCTTGTTGCTTGTATGAAACAGGCATTACCTAGTTTAGGTCTCTGTTTAGGTCAGTAGGAATTTAGGAAAGCATAAATACAAAGTATTTAAGCAATATTTTTGCCGTTCATCCTGTCATTCATTATCAGGCTGGTAGTGAGGAAAAAAAGGAAGCACAACTTCCCAAGGTTTGTTTTATATGGCTGCAAGTAAAATAAAGAATAAATATCTCTGCATACCTTCTCCTTGTTGCCTCAGTGATATAGAATATCCCAGTTGCAAGACCCTTTGAGGAAACAGACAGTTACAATTGTAATAATAATAATAGCCTTATGCAATAGCTCATAATTGCAATAGATATAAAAAGCTAAAAATGTGTAATTACTTACACTTAACAGCGCCCATCCTCCTTGGATGGCTGAGGCCCATTCGAAACCCAGCTTTTCATTTAGAAATCCTCCCAGAGTGGGACCTGCAAATGCCCTGCAACAAATCAAAATGAGGTATTGGCATCCCAAACAAGAAAGATAAAGTACCATATTCTCAGAGAAAGTTTTTATTGCATTTTGTGGCCTCCCTCCATTGATTCTCTCTCCTTTGTCAGCAAAGAGATTCTCTTCCACAGGCCTAACTTTCCTATAATCCACAGTAAATATTAATTCTTTGTTTGCCGTGGCCCAAATAAACCTGTCTAGTTACCTCCTCAGCTGGAAAGAGGATCCACATGAGAAAGCTGAATGCACTCTTTTCTGTACCTGGAATGGCTTAGAGGCCCCATTAAAGGACCATGTTTTAACAGAGCACCTACACCGATCAATTCTATCACAGAAGAAATTTAAACTCTCATCCCTCAGAATGTAAATCTTCCAAATTTCAAGACAAAAGACTGATGGACATAGGCAGGCGGGGAGGCAGATGGAGACAGATGCAGTCACTGCAAGGCTGAGCTTTATGAAACTGCCCAGCACCTTCATGTCTCGCTAAGAACGCCATGAAAGGTTATGCAGCTGCTGTCACTTTATGAAAGGTCTTACATGATATGGTCTCTCGCTACAGAAAGGGACAAAACTGTGTAAAAATAGAGAGACTTCCTGGAAGCAAATCACATAATAAAACCAGGTTTGATAACAGCATAAAACTGGGGTTTGGTAACTTTTTAGTACCTGTATTTGTACTGAACCCTACGCCAAATAAACAGGACAGCTAGAACTTCAGTTAGCTTAGAAAATTTGTACCACTGAAACTCCCCTGCAGCCATAGAGGGCTACAGGGACAGATAAAAAAAATCCTAGAAGTGGCTGTCAACAGGGGGACTCTCTCACTTCCCACTGAGCGACAGCTCTGAAGGGCCACTCAGCCAGTGGCACCTTCCACTCATTTCTGTGATGACTGCTGGGTAATGAACATAGCCACAAGCTAAGCTACGCAAACACCGACCTTAAGTAGTGGCTGCGTCTGAAAGAGAAGATTCTGTCCTAAGCTATCCCAGATGAAAGGAGGAAAGGTGGAAAATGAGAAAGGGAGAACAGAATTAGTCAGGAGCAGACACCTTCTATTGCTCCATGTGAGTGGACATAGCTTTGTGAAAAATTACAGTCCACCTCTCATTAATATTTCAGTGACAACAAAAATGACCACACAGAAGTGCAAACTAACATCCAATCACTGCAGCTTTTTGATATGCAGGGCAATACATTTCAAGGAAGACCAGTTCAGACTCCATTCCCTTTGTTGGGTAAAAAGCTTTGTTTTAACATGTCCACCAGGTACCTGTTTAGCAAGAACCTTTTGAATCAAGGTCAGCACAATGATTGCAATGCAAGACTTCTGGTTGCAATGCAGCAGGCTTTCATGTAGCAATAGTGTAGAACAACCGAATGCCCGTAGCTTACAAAAAGGTGACTGTATACCTACCCAAGGGACCACATGGCACTGAAGAGCCCAGACACCAGTCCCAGCAGGCTCAGACCTTCTTCAAATCCATTCTCACTGCAGAAAGACAGACCAGTTAGTGTAGCACTATAGGTTATTGTGCCTCAGCCTTGCCCTACAGATAAAGTTTTTACCCTCCTTTTAATTTACATGCAACATAAATAGTTAACAAGCAAAAGTGTACGGTGGAATCACGTCTGTTTACCCGGTACTTTCTTCTTCACTGCCTCTCTGGAGGATTGCAGTCTCATCTCTGATGTCTTCCAAGTGAGATTCCTCACATCACACCATCGCTCATTCCCAGTGTTTCACACATCCAAGTGTAAAACAGCGACAGGTGGTTTTTAAGAAGAAAAGACCTCGTTCCAAGAGGAACATACTAATAAGAGTAAAACAAGACCTTTCTAGTTATTACTGCCAAGCCACATCACAGACCCTGTACTGTGAGCAAGAATGACTCCTGTAGATGCAGCTGTTAATGCCAGTACAGACTGAAAAACCTGTGAAAACTGTTTGCTATTAATCGTCCTCAGAAGCTGAAATATATCCTACCGATACGAAACCACACACAGGTCACCCCAGACTATGAGACCCAAAGTTTGATGAACTTCAGTGTGTCCATAGTACTGAGATATACATTTACAAAATTATATTTGGAGTATAATGACTGGGGTGCTCAGTGAGAAAAAAGACAAGACCAGTGGAAGCATTTAAATGTTACTTGTTACCTTTGCCTCAAAAAGGGGGGAAAAAAGCCACATCAAAACCCCACTTCATATTCAGCCCTGAAAATGAGTTGCAGTTTCCTACTGTCAGTAACATGAAAGATGTGTTGGACCGAGTTACTTACTATGCACAGTGCAGTATTTCTGGAAACACGGGGATAGCACTCATGCCAAGGGAAAAGCCAATCAAAACCAGCACTAACACAAACATCCACAGCTGACTGAAAAAGAGGCATTTAAAAGAAGTTAGCTGATGAATACTCTTTTCAAATAAGGACACCATTTGCTGTTTTATCAGCTCTCCATGACTGACCAGAAAACCAGGTTTCTTGAAGCCAAGAACTCAACTTTTAATGAGCACTAAGACAGCAAAATACAGCTCTATGCTTAGAAAAAGACTTTGTAAGAGAATTTAAAAATCCTGTGCTTAAGTTAAATATTTCCTTAGAAATGCAGTTTTAAGAGGAGCACATAGAAAAGAGATGGACAGACAAGCTTAACTTAGCAATACATATATCCAAGCAATATATATATCCAAGCTCCTGACTTGCTTTATCGCACAAGTGAATGATTTTGCAGGTACAATCTGTAGCCTGATACATTATACCCAAATAGACTTAGCTAAGGAAAAGAATGTTGAAGATTTTACTAATTTCCTTTTCTCAGCAGATCTGTTTCAAATCTATTTAATCTTTTTTTAAAAAGTAGTAGTCTGGGAAGAAAGAGTTGACTAATTCTGCGCATTATAGAATATCTCAAGTTGTAAGGGAGCCACAAGGATCATCGAGTTCAACTCCCTGTTCCTTGCAGGACTACCTAAAACTAAACCATATGACTAAAATGTCATCCAGATGCTCCCTGAACTCTGACAGGCTTGGTGCCGTGACCACTTCACTGGGGAGCCTCTTCCATTGACTGACCACGCTCTCAGTGAAGAACCTTTTCCTAACGTCCAATCCGAATTTCCCTGATTCCCATTGCCTCAGAGTTCAACTCCCTGTTCCTTGCAGGACTACCTAAAACTAAACCATATGACTAAAATGTCATCCAGATGCTCCTTGAACTCTGACAGGCTTGGTGCCGTGACCACTTCACTGGGGAGCCTCTTCCATTGACTGACCACGCTCTCAGTGAAGAACCTTTTCCTAATGTCCAATCCAAATTTCCCTGATTCCCATTGCCTCGCATCCTATCACTGGTCATCAGAGAGAGGAGATCAGCACTTCCCACTCAAAATAGCAAGCTTGTCATCAGCTTTAGCAGAGTGCTTAGGGACATGGTTTAGTGGTGGGATGGCAGTGTTAGGTTAACAGTTGGACTTGATGGTCTTAAAGGTCTTTTCCAACCTAAACAATCCTATGATTCTGTTATATGATTCTACGATATAACCTAGGACAAAAGGACTACACGGTTGTTTTGTAAAAGTAGCAGAGTGTTTTGCTGCAAATTAACTTGAGAGCTATGGCAATGCAGTGTTCAGGTGAAACAGACATAGTCTCTTCTTAGCTGGCTGAAAACAAAGCTATAACCTGGCATTTTCCTTAGTAATATATATATAGAAAGAGAAGAAAAAAAATCAACACTGCTGCACAGCCATGGCAAATAAATCCCATAATTCGGAAACACTGATGAAATAGAGAAAAGTGAAAAATAAGACAGAAAGAGAACTTTGTTTTGCTGCACTGGAAATACCACAGAATTGGAAGGAAAGGAAAATAAAAAGCAGAGTTCTTCCCACCACATGCACATTAACACGAGCAAAGACCGTAATAAAAAACAAAGGAAAAGGATCTATTTTACGAAGCTGTAAAATCTCAATTTTCAGATGCTTCTACTGCTTTATATTTGTAGTCTCAAGTTAAAAAAAAAACCAACAAAACAACTGTTTCATGGTCAGAGGTGCTAACTATAGACTTGTGGACATACATGACCATGGTCATGATAGCTACCACAAAAACATCACATAAGGGCACAGGTTCAAGAAGAGGCAGTTCTGTACCTTTCAATGTGCAGTACAGGAGCAGGTCCTAACATGAAAAAGCACAGTGCTGTCATTAATCCTCCAGATACCAGCAGCCACTTCCTGAGGTACTGTGAAAGAAGAGGTATGTAACTTAAAGATGTGAATTTGTAATGTAACTATTTTCTCTTTCTTAATACCCCTCCTTCTAAATCTTCATCTCCTGAGAAGTACTGCTCCTGTACAGACCATCAGTACACACAAACTGGGAATTCACAATTTCTCTGCCAGTTCTGAACACCATCAAGAAATACTGAATTCATGTTTCCTCGACACCAATGCAATCATAATTGAGATTGCTTCAGGGTACTCAGTAACAGTGCTTCTCTGTTAGCAAAGTATTTTAGGTCTTACTCTTCCTTAGTATAAGAAATAGCACATAGTGTCTCTTTCTATGGTGCAGGTAAGAGCTAAAGAACCACAGCCAGTCAGTGTGCTGATCTAGTTTGAGCATTACAATTTTTAGGAGATAAAGTCAATCAGCTAACCAGAACATCTTTAGTCCTCTTCTCAAAAGCTGATAAAATTAGATGTGGACAAAAGCATGAATAACTGGGACATGTTTTCCCACTCTCCATTCCATATTGGCTAGAAATAGATTTGTGCTTAGCCCTCCAGAAAAGCTCAACACATTTCAACTACAGGATACTTGTCCAACATCCTTTACTATTTTGGACATTTTTGTATTACCTGGACTTTGCAAAAGAGACCTTTGAGTTGGCAGCATTCAGTGCATGTGCAAGGTCCTAAAAAACAGATCCCTTTACAGGACCACGTCTACATCCATTGCTTCAATACGGGAAGTCCTCCAGTTTTAAGTAAATGCACAGAGTGCTTTACTAACCCTGCATGAACAGCAGGGTAGTACTCACTGGCAGTTTGTCACTTAGGAGACCGAGGAGGGGAGAAGACAGGGAGTACGAGAGCGCCAAACCGAGGAATACCAAGCCCACATAACCAGCTGGGAGTTTGAACTATGGGAAAGAAGACAAATAAAACAGAAAACCAATAAACTATATATGCTTAATTCATTAAAGGACAATTCAAGAACTATATTTTAGGTCAAAATACTGAAATGCATGATTTTAAGTATTTTATTGATACCATACAGAGTTTTTCTTCAAGTATTTGAAGTCATCAGCAGAGCTCCAGTTTCCTTCCACTTACATTTCTAAACAGGGAGTGAAAACACCTGAGTACAGTTGTGTCAGATAAAGCCTAAATAATCTCAGGAAGAAACACTTGGTTATGTCCCTACACCAGCACACTGGATTCCAAGATCAGTATCTGGCACATTTAAAACAGACACTTCAGACACTGAAATTTAGATGGATTTAGTCATTACCTCTCCAATCTTCAGTTTTATTTCCACTTTGAAAAGCCTAAATACTGTAGTCATCCACTGCTGATCAGTGCATCTTAAAGGTAAACAGTGCTATAAAACACAACTCTGTGTTTTCAATCAAAGGAGGATTTTTATGAGAATGAATAAGGTTTTTTGCCAATACTCCGAGGTCTACATTTTCCTAATGCAGAGTCACATTTCTGTATTGAAACAAAATGTGCTTTGAATGAAGAGCAAACTAGTCTCTCAAATGAGTTCTTGAACTATCATTTAGGAAGTATTCCAAGATGTTTCATGTGGCATAGACTACATAAATATTCACTGTTTCCTTGCCATACGCAAGCACATGATAATAACTCTAATTTAGTGGTTAGGACACCTGCCAAGAAGGCTACAGCCCTTTCACAGCAAGTATCTGTTAGCACAGAGCAGAGGGAAAGCCGAAGAGCCACGCCAGTGCGCAATATTCTGCCGTGGAATAATTACAGATCCCTCCTGGGTGGTGGAAGACGTACATTCACACCTCCACTGATGGAAGAGGTTAGCACCAAGTCTCCGCCACCCTGGACGAGTGCTCTAAGTACTGGCAGAGACAGACAAAAAGTAGGAGCACAACAACCTGTGAAATGCTATTCCCTGGAAAAAACAATTAATAAATAAACCACTCAAAAAGCATTGCTTAATTTCGAACAGGAACAGAATCTTAAATGGTTTACTTCAAATTCATTACCTTAAACACCGTGGGGAAAATAAATAAATAAAATTAAGTAGGAAACAAATAAATAAATAAATATTAGAATAAATTAAAGGTAACTAAATAAAACAGCATTTGCCTTTGTAATGAGGGAGTGAGGAAGTCAGCTGTCAGGCTACATTGTTGCAATCTGTTTAATTTTGGCACTGCTGTAAGAGAAGGTAGGGCTGTGACATCAGGCCCCTGAAAACAAATGTCCACATCAAGAGATGGAACACTGTCAGTGACTGTTGCTGTTTTACAGAATTTGCTTTCAGAAAGGAGGGAAAAAACCCCTCATTTACAAACCCAGCTGCTATGCCCTGCTCAGAGAAGGTACTCTGCAGCTGAAAGCCATTTAAGTGCAAAAAGCACATTTTTAAAGGCTTTACATTTCCTCATTCTCAAAGTTACCAAGACCCAGCAGCAACAGATGGTGTCAATGGAAACTGTGATTTGTTAGTACTGCGGAAATCAAGTTATTTGGAAATCACGTTATTAACAGTTAATTAAAGCAGCGTAGTTGGACAAGGCTTAATTTTGTTTAGGATATTTAAACCACATTTGTAACCAGTTATTTACTATTTAGCAAGTCAATTCTTCCCTGCACATTAACAGGACTTACTTTCTTTAGGATAAAGAGAGACATTGTAGGATCCAAAAAGCCCAAGCATGCACTTAGAGAGCATATAGTAAGACATAGCAGTAAGACTTTCGGCAGAAGAATGAGCTTCCAGAAGGAGTTCTTGCTAGGGATCGAATCTGTTTCAAGACAAAAGGGGGAGGGAAATTGCATTATTTTCAGCAGCACAAGCTCATGATTGATCTTCTTGCTGTAGAAATCAGTTATTTCCCTGTTTCTAGTCCTATTACTCTTGTTATCTAACAAATGGAAGTCAATGGTAGACTATTACACATACTATACTATTTTTATATTAAAACCCCAAATTTGATAGCTGAATAAAAGAAGGAAAGTACACAACTGAGGTCCCAACATTGCAAATTCCAACTTGAAAAGCACAAAAGCATGGACTATTCCCAATTATGTGAAAATACAGTTACTTCTCCGCTAGCCCTTATACAATGAAAATCTCATGGGTATGTCTCAACTTAAAACAACATGCACACATGCATGAACCATTCATACCCAATCTGAGAAACGTGCTTTGAAAGCAAAATAAAAAGATTGCCATTTATCAGTTGAGATCTGCCGGAATTTTTAAGCAACTAGTCATTTGGGTCTCCTGCATGTTCAGTTTGTTTCTCCAGACAGGAAGCTTCTTTTAGATGTCATGGTTAGATGTCATTTCTAAGTCAGGCTCCCTTCCTGATGCTGTCGGTCCTTTAATAGTTGAATGTGGTCTCAAAGTATACATAGAGCTAAAAGTTCATTCATTAGCATCCACTGGATCAGAGCTAACATTTATTTAATGTAGTTCCAAATTGGCTAGTAATATCGTGACTCCACACCACCTCAGAGCTCAGGGAGGTGGGAGGGAAGCCAGCAGTAGCAGCACATAGTTAACAACTGTAAGTTTCTTCTAAAAGCCAATATGAAGTTATTCTCCAAGGTTTTCATATTCAAGAGGATAACATTTTTAAACTGTATTTTAAAGTTATTAGTTTTTATTCTAGAAAAGACTAACAGAACTGTAACCTTGAAGTTATGATCTTGTGCGAAGACTTATCTTTAAGTTAACTTTCTGGCCAAGCAGGACCATCTAAAATTTGATCAAATTTAAATCAACACTTCAGTTAAACACCTCCTTTATTAACTTCAACATTCTTTCATGTCAACCAGATCCTGCATCATTCAGCATAAATAAACCCTTTTTGTTCTCCCTGTAATTCTGTTTTTCACCCCCCCTCTGTTAACCCCTAAAACATGTCAAGTTCTTTTGTTTTAGGGAAAATTGGCCTCCAGCTTTTCTTCAACTAGCTTCGATGACAAGCTGATACAAAGAAGACACAACTGATCCTCTACAAGCCCTGAAGCTAAAGAGACAAAAGAAAACAAAGATTTATCTCAGTTCACTTCCACACAGAGTTCTTAGTGTTTGCAGAGATGGGCATGAGGTGTTGGATTCATTCCAGGCCATCTGCACGCATTAATTTTAGTTCACATTAAAACATGGGCCTGATCAAGATCACAAGTTAATTCATCTGGAGCTTTGCCCTCCGAGTTGTGTTGGACTCCAGAAACTGATGTTTTTCTAAAAGACAGTGATATACATGAGAAATTAAGGTGAGTGAAGGAGACAGGAAGAAGGGTGCTCACCATATTTTGGTAATATGCACATATTCACAGGCACCAAGACCAACACCACGCATCCCAGTGTAATGAAAGGGACCTCGTAACCAAACGACTGATACAGAAAGCCACCTAAAGGCGGGCCCAGCACCAGTCCCAGTCCTGTAAAAATTTCAAGGCTTCCCTAAAGGATGAAAAAGAAAGCAAGGAAAAAAACTGTCAGAATGCTGAGAAACTGTAGTGTAAGAATAAAAGCAAATCATTTTTCTGAGGAGCATCACAACGTAGGCAGGGTAGGTAATAACAGTGAAATTGCAATGGGGATAACTCAGATTATTTTGGCTATAATTTTACAATCTGGCATCTTTTATAAGATACTAATTTTCAAAAGGACAATACAGTTACACTTAAATCTTGTGTTACAACACCATCGTCACCGCTGTCAACACCTGACTCAATCCTTGACTAATCAGTGCTTAAACCAACCCCTTTTAACAAGTAACAGCTGGTGGTAATAACTGCTTACAGTTAAAGTTTTGCTAACTTCTGGGACCCAGAAACATAGTACAGATTTTACTGATACAAGTCAGAGTGGTCAAATGGCCTGATAGCGGGTACAGTCAGCAATAGTCATTTATCCTAGGTCAGCCTAGGGTCCCAGCCTTCTCCTTTCCTAGGACAGGAAATAACTAAGAACAGCATATGAGTGGCAAGTCCTCAAAATTAGTTCTAGACAGATTTGAGACATTTTGGTAAACTTCAACACATGGAATGCCCACGAGCTAACATAACTGCATCCAAATAATGCTTTTACTTGTGTTGCTCACCAACCATAAAAAATATTTATGATTAGTGAGACTTCAGTTCAAATCAGGCTGTACATCATTTAGCCCCACTAAGTTAATGAATTATTGGCTGGGGGGGGAGCTGAGGCTTTGGATTATTACAGATCAGGGGAGGATAAGGTAGACCTGGTCTTGCAAGGAAAGTGATATTGCTTATGTTCTGAAGTTTCTACCTCCCCCAACAGAGGGATCATGTTGACAGATGCTGAACTTCCCACTTCAACAAGGCTGACATGCCTTCATTTAATAACTTCCCCATACATTCTCTAGGGTACCCGATGGGTAAAAGGTGGGCTGAAAACTGATACCAAAAGGGTAAGGAGAGGAAAAGTGCTTTTCAGAATCCAGCACCATCACAAAGGGCAATGGAAAGCAAGGCTAAAAATCCCACATCTGTTCCTTCAGGCTTTATGATTTTACCATAGGATGCACCTTGCTTCAACTTATATATGGCAAACAGACCAGTATTTAAAAGCGATGTGTCTTCTGACAGCACGCTTTCTAGCTTTTAAGCAAAGGTAGCCACCAAGCCACAGCTGTGTAGTGTTTCTGACTGTGGTCTTGAGGTGACCTTCATCACCACGTACCATTTTCAGCTATGCATCATGCTTATTGTGCCGCTCAGAGAATTTAATTTATTTTTAAGTCTTAATGTAAGATAGATAACCAAGTCCCTTTAAGTCAAGGTTACTTTACTTACCTGTTTAAATTACATTTTAAAATTTGCTATCAGGAAACCTTAACCTTATTGACTGAATCCAAAATGTGATTACAATATATAACCTGCTTTCCAAAGAAATTGCCAGCTCCTCACTGATTTTTTATTAAATGTTCTGAAGGATGTTCTTAATTTTTCACTTGTTAAAATTTAACCCAGTTATTTCTGTCAGTCTATATTTGAACTGAAACCAGAATTTATTGAAAAAGGAGAAAGGAAGAGCAGTATTTTATCAAATAAAAAACTTTTTTTTTTCCTAACACGATAAAAACTGACTAAATAAGGGCAACGTCTCTAGTTGAAATGAATCACCGATGACCAGAAATAGTGCCCTCCAGATTTCAAGAAGTTCTAGCTCTCCTCTTCTCTAACATCACTTTTATCAGTAGAATAGAAAACCAAAATCAAAGTTGTTTCCAGTTTTGCATCTTTCAGTTATTTAAATCAACACTACTTGAATGAATTAATCTAATTTCATGAATCAGTCCACATGGATTCTTACTATCCACGTAGAAGTAGTCACTAAAAGCTGTATCAGTATTTTAATAGTCTGATTTCAACTGAAGAGATAACTACTGCCATCAATGCTCAGCTGGCTTCAAAACATAAGCAACTAATACATACTGCTTAATTTATATCTAATTGGAGTTATGCTAAGGTCTAAACTTGTTGTAGGATTGTGATTCTAGGTTACAAACAAACATTACGTGATGATTTCAAATATGCCGGCATATGAGACAGCAGATTTTTTTTTCCTTCCTGGTTTTAAGCTGCTTACTGGCAAATTATCATACTGCAGGTACTCAGCTGTAATACTGGTTTTGGCACTTACCAGGACAGTAGCTATATTATTGGGAAATGCCTTTGCAAGGATTGAAAACGATGCTGTCATTGCTGCTGCAAAACCTACTGCATCCATTGCTCTTACTAAAAAGCACAAACCGATGAACACTGGTCCACTTGGAACCTTGTCCAGCATTCTGGAAAAGAAAAAAAACAAACCCAAACAAACCAAAACAACAAAGTTGCACATCAGTGAAGTCATTCAAACTCCACCAAACTATTTCTGGCAGCTTTCTCCTTTTCCCCTTTCTTTGGTGGTGAAAAGAGCAGGAAAAACCTAACCTGTGAAAGTCTCCAACGCTCCCTTCTGTTGTATTTCATAGCTTTTCCAAGTAGCTGTGCAAGGATTCTGATGCAATGAATTACAGCTACCTTCATTGTTAATAAAATTTTTATTTTGCTAAAATGAGTGGCTTAGCCTCTCTGCCTGCCAGGCAAAGCTTCTCATTTGCACTCTATATTTTTAAGAAAAGAATAATTAAAACATTATGCATAAATAGTTTCCTTATTGCTGCACTTAGACAGACTGCTTGCTACTCATCGACTATGGTAGTTTAAACATGTAGAACCTTCCTCCTTTGCTTTCAAAGTACTAAACAGGCTTTGAAACCTACTGAAAGGGAGAAGTGTTCGTTCTGCTTTACAAAGGACAGACAAAAAGTAAAGATGCTTTAAAAAGTTAGATGACCTAACCAACACCTGAAAGATGCCCAAGAGTTTCCAGTTCTGTGTCCATCTTTTCATACAGATGAAAACGATTAGAAGACAAATGCAACAAACCCAACCAACAAAAATTACTCACCCAAACAGAATGGTCACACATCCTGAAACAAACATCCCTGCCACAAACATGAATTTTGCTCCAATATGTGTAAGCTGTAAATTAAATACCAGTTTTACACGTTATTATTTCAAGCCTAGGTCAAAAATCTTTCAAAGTTACTGTTAAGAAATCAAAACATTATGGGCACTTCATAGCTTATGTAAGTAAAAGATCTGGAGACACTGCTCCTGCCGGCGTGCCTTCATGCACAATACTGAACCTAAAAATATTCTAAATGGTTAAGTGACTTAACCCAGTTTTCAGAATGGTAAGACAATGGCGTAGTTAACTATTTCACAGCACCATCCTGAAGCTTCTGCAGAGCAGCAGTTTACAGCAGCATTCCTCATTATAAACAAGCAGAAAGTAATACATTCCCCCTCCAGCACTGTCAGTGATGCCAAGTCAGCAATACCTGTCATGTATATGGCTCAGGAGAGTCAATGGAAGTTGATTTTAAAGCAAATTTATCACTAACTTTAATAGCACAAAGCTTTGGCATAGGAAGCACGGTACCTTCAGGCTTCCCCATTCATTACCAGGGAAAGGACCCCACCTTACTTTGTTTCAGACTCCATCACCAGGGTGAAGGATGGCAAGAGGCATGCCGTAAAGCTAACTCAATCCCGTAACAAAGTGCATCTGAGCTTCTAATTCCATGCTGTAACTTCCCCTAAGGACAGCAGGTATTTCAGACTCTTTTCTTGTTCGGGCCTGGACAAAATCCCTGTGTTTCAGCCATTATTACTAAAGCCTGCATTTTGCCGAGTTTCGCTGAAACCCTCAGGATTTCTGATTGCTGGACTGCCCACCTCTGCTGGTGCTCACTGCATGCTCATCCTCTCTCTACCCTGCAAAGAACTTGGTGAGGGTTGGGCCGTAGTCGAATGCCACCACAGGCACCGACTTACCAATGGCACTTGCGTGACACCATGATGAAGCCACTTCACCGCCAGAGAAAATCATTCACCACGGGGTCAGCAAAGAGACTGCCCAGCCAAAGAAAGAGAAGGCCGTGAAACTGCAGCAACCCCAACTTTAGTGTATGATCCCAAGCAGCTCTAGCCAAAAAACGCATAGACAGCGGCGCTCCAGCATATAAACAAGCAAACAGTTATCTAAATTAGTTGCAATTTCTCCAGCATGAGACAAATCCTGAATCTGTGGGAAAACTGAGGCTGCAAGAACTAGGGACATTTATCTCATACTGCAGAAGGGGAAACAAGCAGCAGAGAGCCATAACAGGAGGAAATGTTAAGAAAAAGACAACATACCAGGCAAGAAGAAGGGGTGCAGCTAACTAAAGAAAAAAAAAACCAAACCCCAAAATCTCACACCACCCTAAGAACATTGCCAAAGGCAAATAGATACATAAGTAAGTGCAATAAATAAAATGGGGGTAGGGGGAAAGGAGGTAGTAGAATCGCTCAGCAGATTACTCTGAAGCGAACAGAATGGTTAACCAGAGAAACAAACCAGCCGCATGCCCACCACCCTCTGCTACCCCCAATAACTGCAGAAGAGTAATTTTGAAATTGTACTGACAAGACTTAAGATCAGATTCAGACTGACTGGCCAGGCGCCAGTTACTGCAGACACAGCCTGCAGGAACGCTACTGAAGAGACATCGCTTTTCTCAGCCTTAGAGAACCGTCTTCATGTACCAACCTGTGTCATCACAGAAATAAGTTACAGCTTCAATTATACTTACATAATTTCCCAAGATTAAAGAAGTCAAGAAATTGACCAAAGCAAAACAGCCAAAAATCAGGCCAACAACGGTGTTACTGGCACCTTTTTTTTCTGCCTGCAAAAAAGATCACAACTGTGTAAAGATTGAGGCAAATTCTTGAGGCGAATAACATGCATGCCTTGCACATTTAATTTTTTTTTAATTCTCTATTAGTGCAGTTACAAAGCGATTTCCTTTCTCAAAGGCAGTAGAAGCCCATAAGGTAACAAGACAGCAATTTAGAGACATGTTGCACTTCTACTTACATTGTATGTAATCAAGGGAAAAGCAACAGCCATTCCTCAATGAACAGAAACACTGTGCTGTCTGCTGAACTGAACGGGTGACCAGCCTTTATACAGGTAGCTTCAGCTGGTGTGCAACAGAGCCAGCTACAAAGCTTTGATCCCTCACATGGTGAGAGGGCAGCAGAGATATGTTATCTTCACTGTACCATGCCTCCACGTAACAAGCACCAGGCACATTTTTGACTTATCCAACTGGAAAAATACATGTCTTTGGGTACAAGCAGTTACGTAGGAGTATTTAGAGCAAAAATAATTTTAACACTTCTTTGTTAATACTTGGGAACAACTTGGTCATGAAAGAAATTAAATTCTGCTGCAAAGGCACCATGACTTTTTTTTCATCTTGCATTTAAGCACCGCATTCACTCAACATAAGCAGACATGATCTTTTTCCCTTCCAGTTGCTAGGTCAGGAAGTTTAACACAGTGAATGATGGCCCAGCATGAGTTAACAGAGAGGCAGCTATAAATAAAAAGTCATTGAATGGCTAAGGCACTGAAATGCAAGTCAGGACACGGGCAGAGTTTTAATCTCGGCTCTACTACCAAACCGCTATGCAACACTGGGCAAAAACCCATTTAACTTCTCCAAGCATCCATTTCAACGTCTATCTCATATCATTAGTTTGCTGTCTTCTCTGCAGCCACAGGGAAAAGCAAATCAGTCCATGGACAGGATCCAGGTCACCGTTATATACACTCTAATCTATTTTAGCCAGCATCAGGCTATCACTATGAATTCCCGCAGCTGAAAAGTCCAACTCAGAGCTTACAGATGGCCATGAAGGTGCCACAGTGTTCAAGATCCTTTTAAAAGCTTCAACACGCAAAAAAATTATCTGAAGAGTAGCTGGCTAAATTGTTTACCTCTGAAGGGAAAAAGGGTCCCAGGATTGAATAGCATATCATGGAACTGAAGTTTATAGAAGCTGTTGCGGCCATTGTAAATAGCTGTTCTCTGGTAAACCTCCTCGAGTCCTCACCCGGTGCTTCTGGCATGCCATCTTCTTAAAATCCCGAAGAAAAAAACCCAAAAAAAGTATTATAAACTGGTAAGAGGGAAACACAAGGTGCAAATCAGGTCTGAAAACGAAATTCCGCACAAGGCTGCCGCCCTCCCGTCTCTGGCGAATTAAAT